TCGCATGCATGATAGATTCGCGGTAGATCGTTTGGCAGCGTGCATTTATCGCTGGCGCGCGTCCAACTTTCTTGTCAGTTTGAATTGTGTTGGACATGTTCAAAGGCTGGGTGGGTGCTAGCCGAAGTGTGTGCGAGGCGCTAGCTGGTAAGAGGGCGTCCGGCGGTGCGGTTTTGTGTGGTTGCGTGTGTACTCGTTGAGATTGCAGTTTTCACGATGCGGTGCGGTGGTTAGCTTGTCGTGCTTCTCCTATAGCTCAGTTGGTAGAGCGTGCGGCTGTTATCCTCAAGGTCGCTGGTTCAAACCCAGCTGGGAGAGCTTCTTTTGCACCACCAAACTACTGTCGCCGACTTGCTTCTTTTGCTTGTCTACGCTTCCCACGTGCTCTTCCGACCACTGCATCGCTGTCACACCACCTCGCAGCTATTCGCCACCCACCGCCACCATGTTTTGCTGCCTACAGTGTTTTATTTCGTCAGCTCACTTACTGCCTGCTGCTACCGCCTGACGGTAGTGTGCTGTTTTGTGCTGAACCTCTTGACTCTCTTTGACTGGGCTGGATGGCTATGCTTTTCCGATTGCTATTTGACTACTGTTAGCTCCGCCGGAACAGTGAGCCCATTCACTGTGGTCGCGCTAGATCCACTGCCCAGTGTCAAGGCCACTGCCAGGCTCGAAGCAGCGACCTGGACGGGGTCGCTTTGGCGGACCCCTTTTGTGCTTTCTAGAGCGTGCTAGTGACCTGTGCTGATGCGGCATGCATGATAGATTCGCGGTAGATCGTTTGGCAGCGTTCATTTATCGCTGGCGCGCGTCCAACTTTCTTGTCAGTTTGAATTGTGCTGGACATGTTCAAAGGCTGGGTGGGTGCTAGACGAGGTGTGTGCGAGGCGCTAGCTGGTAAGAGGGCGTACGGCGGTGCGGTTTTGTGTGGTTGCGTGTGTACTCGTTGAGAATGCAGTTTTGGGCAATGCCGGTGGCGGTGGTTAGCTTGTCGTGGCTTCTCCTATAGCTCAGTTTGGTAGAGCGTGCCGGCTGTTAATCCTCAAGGTCGCTGGGCTCAAACCCAGCTGGGGAGAGGCTTTCTTTTTGCACCACCCAAACTAACTGTCGCCGGACCTTGGCTTCTTTTTGGCTTGTCTAACGCTTTCCCACGTGGCTCTTCCGAGCACTGGCATCGCCTGTCACACCCACCTCGGCAGGCTAATTCGCCCACCCACCGGCCCACTAATGTTTTTAACTGCCCTACAGGGGTTTTTATTTTCGTCAGCCTCCACTTTACTGGCCTGGCTGGCCT